AGCACCAGTCTGACTTTCCGACCTGCTTCCAGGCAGCAGGGTTAAACAAGCGCCACAACCAGGGACTGGAAGCAGGAGGTGCCTGTTCCCAACGGGATGGCCTCGCCAAGGTGCAGCCCTGCGCACCCGCAGAGCGAAAGGTAAGGCAAAGGCACGGCACCTGTGCTCCTGCCTGAAAACTGTAACAGCCCCAACAGGAGAGCTGCTTGACAGTACCCTACAGCTCTGTGGTGGGGGCTGTCTCCTACCACCTGGGTGTAAATCTGCAAGCAGTAAGGACGGGACACAGGCCTGACGCAGACCCTTTCTCTGGTACCTGCTTCTCCCCACCTCCTGGATGCCAGCCCAGTGTCACGCTCATCGCTAGGGCCCAGCAGTACCCAGCTCCAGCTCTCCTTGGCTTTCAGGTGACACTCAGTCTGAAGGCAGGTCTGGACTTCTGCCCCTAGCCAGAGGGATGCCAAGGCCATCAGCGCACAGCCTCTCACGCTCGGCAGCGGCTTTTTGCTCCGTGCTGTCTCTCAGAACAGTGGAGCACTGAGCCATTAAAGGTTAAACAGGGCAGTACATGTGGCAACTTGATGCTGTGCTCTGCAGCCTCTGGGTCAGGTGTAGTGCATCCTCCCGCAGCTGTAGCAGAACATGAAAATCGCAGACGCAGGGTATGAAGTACACACAGCGGGCAAGCAGAAGAGAGAGACTTTTCTGTCACTCCCGGCATGTCTGCCCTTCACATACTGACACAGCCAGCTACTGCTGCTATCTGCCAGCATTTCTACTGGCACGTAACACAGTCGTCAGTTCCTATTAGCAGCACTCAACACCTCCACCCCTCTCACTTCATTAAAACCATAAAATGAAGTTATAATTATCCTAGTGTCCTGCCATCCCTTCCATATTCCACGTAGTGGCTTGTTCCCAAAGGCTGTTAGGAGCAAAGAACCCATTCCGTTGTAGTTCACGCAATGCACAACGCAACCGTTTCAGGGCAGCAGAAAAAGCGTGAAGCCATCACATAACCTGCAGTCCCTTCATCCAGCACTGTGGTCCTCAAGCTTTTCAAAGCCACCCTTCCTCTTTTTTTAAAAAAGGTTTCGTTTCCCCTTCTCATCTTCCCAGTTTCTACCCGACAAAAGCACAACTTGCTAACTTATCTCAAGCCCCCAGAGCTCAAACATCAGGTGGGATTATTTTCTGCAGTATGAGACAGTTTATACTAATTTCTTCTCCCAACATTTACATATGAATTTTCAGTAAAATGGAATCCCAAACTAAAGCTGTGTTAGCTTAAAGGATATATATACTACACTCATCTCGGAGCCGAAGAGGGTGGACAACTTTTAGGCAGGATAGTCAGAGACCAGCACATCCAAACCCAATGGCAGGGGAACAAGTTTTTCTGGGGCTCCTACCTCTTCTCCTCCAGTTAGAGGATGGATTCTGGCACTCGCCAGAAAGTCACTGCTTTAGCAGAGGATGGAAAAAAATGAGCAAGACAACAATCTGATTCTCAGACCCATTACATCACCCAAGTAGCAAACATAGTTTATTTCTAACACAGCTGGAATCCCATATTTGACAAAGTTGCAGACAGATGGAGCTTTCAGGACCAGGTTGACACTGAAGGAAACTTAAAACACTTTTGCTGGCAGAATTACAGTAATGAGGTGCCAAAGTGCCTGCCAGACAGAGCTGTCATTCAAAGGCCCCTGGTAGAGCTGGTGATAACCAGCAAAACCTGTGCTTTGCTTGGTAGCCAGGTTTCATAAGGAAGATTTGGGGGGGAAGCGAGGAAGTTTTGGCTGCAGAGATGTCAGTTTTCCAGCCTGAAAGAGTCCTGCATTAAGAGCATGTGGTGGGTCTGCGGACACAGACTGCTGTAACAGCAAAAGCTGCAGGCATACCTTAGCCCTGTCCATTAGGCACAGGAACCAAAAGGGAACTTGTGATTTACTTCTCTTGTTCCAGTATAAACAAGTGCACTTGCAGCAAAACAGTGCTTTTGGGTGAACACAGAGCATAGGTCAGAAATTCTTTGGTTGTCAGACTGCACAAAATTCCCCCCAATTTTTTTTTTTTCCCCCACATGGTGACAAGTGACAGAGTGATGTGGGAGGCTGACAAAAAGATGCTAGTGTAGTGCCAGGAGAGGAGGCACGATTCCAGCAGAGAGCGGCAACAGCCTTTTCTTCAGAGGAAGCTCAGGCTCCAGCTCCAACCCTTGGAAGTGCTTCTCCCCACTGCCACTGCAGCGCTGAGGTCTCAGGGGCATCACCCAGTGTGCAGAACACTGGTTTCCCACAGCATTGCCAAGAGGGGTTAAAGCTTGTAGGAAGGTGCCTCCTATCTCTCTGAGGTGATATCTCAGGGGGTGAAGGAGAAATAGAGACCTTCTCTTTCCTCTGGGGGAACAGAAGAGGTGGCATCCTTAAATATCTACCATGTCAGTCCAAGTTAAAGTCAGAGTGCTGATTTCCAAAAGCTGTAGTTAAGTCAGTCTTGGCAGGAGAACTGGTGATCAAGCACCCCTGTTGCACAAAAACATACATTCACATATGTGTGTGTGTGTACCTTCTTCTGCAGGTATTTTCACTCAAAGTGCCCAGAATAACGTCCCCTGTCATACACGTCCTTCGGACCGGTCCTGTGCTGGCAGTGCAAGGAAGCCTGAACCATCACTGACGCTGCTGACGGTGGATTTCTAGCTGAGGAAGATGTCTGTTTTCTTAAGCCACAGAGCCTTTGAGGCTCAATTTCAGGTTGTTAAAAAGAAGAAAGTGACCCATTTCTGACCAAACACAAAATATGTCATCTGAAGGTATGGGGCAGAAAAGCAGGCCAAAGTTGGACATTGTAAAGAAATAAAAAAAGTCAGTATGAAATTAAGAACATCATAACTGCCTGATAAATCGTTATATTTGAATAATCTTTTGTATTAATGTCAAAGCAGTTTGGCTTGGAGTGAACATACGTATCTCCATCCACAAACAGCAGACTTGCACTTTCAAATCGTTTCCTGCTCTGTATTCCTGCAAACAGGGTACTTGCAAAAAGGAACAGCAAGAATAATCACAAGAACTGCACCATAAGGGTGAATTCTACCTTTCCAGGTTATCTGCTCAGTTAAGGTATTTACTCAGAATTTTTGACACTTTGGCAGGTGGCCAATTTCTCTTCTCAAAGAGAGAAACAAAACAAAACCACAAAAGTCAAGGTAAAAATACATATATTGGGATGAGAGGAAAAACATACGGTGGCAACAAATGGCAATGTACGATGACCTGCCATGAGGCACATGAAGAATTTTCTGAGAGGACCATTAAATTACTTAGCAGTATTGATGCAAAATTTCAGACAAATAGAGCAATGCACAGCAGGCCAGAAAATGCTTTTTTTCCTCCAGAATGGACCCAGTAAACTGTGTAAATCCTACATTTTGCAGAAATCTGCTGCAGCATCATGCAGTTGTCCTGACAGAAGAGACCAACTGAGAAGTACAAGTTCTACTTCATTAACATGAAAGGGGAAGCACCAAGGAGGGGCCTGTGTTTCCCTTTTCCCCGCAAAGAATTCCCAGTTCACCAGAGACGGACTGCAAAAGGAGAGAAAGACCAAGGTGCCAAGAAGGCATTGTCTCAGCCTCAAAGTTGCATAGAGCTTCATGACGATACCAGGTTGGACAAAACCAAACTGTTCTGCCTGTTTGGGCTGTGAGCAGAGTGACCCAAGCACGGATCCCAGCAGAGGCAAAGGAAGAAACAAACCACATGTCAGAGGGAGAAGCACATTGCTTCATTCCCAGTGGGCTTACCATAAACACTTTTAGACTCCAAAGAGAATAATTTATAGGAAATGCACAGAAATTTTCTATGGAACAGGTCTTACATATACCCCTTTTACAAATGAGTATTTGTGAAAAGGAAAAAAAGAAAGAACCCACAAAACATTAAGCATGTATCCTTGGGTATGTATTTTCCTGTATTTGGCAGAGGAGAGGTTTTAAGAATAATCTTTGATTGTTAATAGCCTGTAAAAACTCAAGGAGAAAACACCTGTTTTCATCATGTACTGCTGGGGCTATGAGGGAGTGTTTGCAGCGATGTATTCAAGTCCCAGTTCACAATTTTTGGTGCTGGCTGAACTGATGTTAGAAAAAGTCCACAGTTCTGACAGAAAGAGGTAACAAAGACTTGGGTCAGCTTATCCAGGCACAAATCAGTTCGTAACAGTTCCTTTGTTAAACAAATCATCCTTGGAAGAATCAGGTAGGAATCTGCAGGATTTCCCTTCTGTAAACAGATGGAGGAAATCAGAAGGAATTCTTCCATCCCTCTGAAAGGAGAACCAAGTGACTCTCCAAAGGAGTTTTAAATGCACCTATTGCAAATAGCTGGAAATGACCACAGCCCGGCTTTCGAGACGTCCTCTTTCTCTGTAAAGCTCATAAAAAGCAGGTTCTCCATTATACGCTGCTTTGAGGGGGGGAGGGGAAAGTGGGGAGAGCAAAAAAACTTTTGTTCACAACATTGTTTTGCATAGGCATTCAAGCAGATCTTCAAAAGCTACTGGCTGTCCGGGCTAGTAACGAAATACCCATGCTCTCTCCTCAGTAGTGGACGCTCCTCTTTGGTATCCTGTTTTGTAAGGCAGAAGTCTTGCAGAGATGAAGGAGTCATACAGATGCATCTTTGAAAAAGAAGACAGTGTCACTTGTGTTGCCATCAACAAATTCACCTACTTGATTAAGACACACACAGGAAACCTTCTTCTGGTAGGAGGTGGGGGAGAGAGAAGAGAAAGCACTGATACATGCACTGCTTGCTAGGAGCAAGTTATTTTGCTCTTGTAGGTAGTTGTTAAGAGCTGTCAGTAGCTGTGATGCGTCTGTGCTGACAGAAAATATGGAATTATTGCTTTGTGAGTAATTTTAAGTAACAAGGACCAGAATATTAATAAATCCATGCAGGTAGGCACAGCCCTGTGGCAGAAAATATAAATATTCATTTTGGGAAGCATTCTGGCACATGATACTTACTTGTTGACTGTGTGATGCACGAAACCTTGTAGGATGACCATATGCTTAAAACACAAAGGATCGTAGCTAGGAACCCGAAAGTCTGGATGAGAAAACAAACAAACCACAAACACTTACAAAACATTAGGTGACACATATTCTATGAATGTGTGGCCACTCTTGTATATTCAGCTACATATTTTATGATGTTAACAAACCCAAAAAAGTGATTTTTTTACTCCGTTCTGCCAATATACTAAAAAACTAAGTGTTTACATAGTGTAACAGCAACTTATGTCTCGCCAGAACAATGACAGAAAGAAGACAGAGAGTTGTATACAAGGGGGGGAGAAAAAGCTGGACAGAAGCAGAGCCTCACCTTCTAGACTTCCCACTGCAACAAAATAAAACTTTTTTTTTTTTTTAACACTTCTGATTACTGCTCTTTTACTGCCCCATGCAAACAAGTCTTTCCTTGCCATCTGCCAGATAAACAAGTCAGGTAAGTCCCCTAGTCTCTGCATCATCACGAATGTGTTTCTGAAAGCAATTCTTTATTCTGGAGGAGTTGTATTTCAGGTCCTGCTGCTGTGAAAATACTGTTGCCCACACTCAGGAGTCATGCCTCTGTAAAGCCCTCCAGCCAAGAGAGGCAGAGAGAATCTTCCAGAAAGTCAGCCCAGCATCCCAGTGGGTTTTAGCTCAGGAGAAATTATCTTCAACAGGGCTCTGTTCAGGGGAAGGAGGTGTCAAAAGCCGAAGACTGGGGTGAAACGCTTTTGGTAACTACAACAGCCACTTGTCAAAACTGACTTGTCTTAATTCTTCCCCTAAACACATTGGTTCCTTTAAGTTAAGGCCGAAGCCTTTGGTTTCAAGGCTCTGACAGGACAAATACCCACTTTAGTAGTGAGCCTGGAGTCTCACAACAAAATATGTTTGGTGGCATTGTGTTACAGAACATTCGCTGAAATGAGCTACAAGGTAGTTCACCCAACCAAGACACAAGCAAGGCAGGTCTGTAAGAAAATAAAATTACAGGTAATAGATTTCCAATGCCCTACTTAATACATACTGCAATTTAAAAAGTGTCAAGATGAATAAACACAGTCTTACCGCTCCAGCCACAAGTCCAGTCAAATTGTAACTCTTGGATGCTACTACAATCGATGCGATGAGAAGCAGAATTGTACCGATTAAATAATGAAGGAACTCCTGTGAAGACAAGCACAGCCTGCATCAGAAGGCAAACTTAGCAGGAAAGCATTTCAACCTGCCCCAGAGTGAAAACAAGCTTGCAGAGGTGAAACGCTCACTACTTAAAGGTGAAACACATATCATTACTGCATCAAGTATGCACCTCACTTAAAGGGACAGTTCTGGAGAAGGGAAGACACCTTAAGGGCATGTTTCTCTAGCTTATATGAAATGCCAGTAAATGGCACCAATGGTCTAAGTAGTGGCGTAATGCTCCTACTTCTAATAATCTTCGAAAGTAGGCAGTGGATCTCCTGCTGGATTTACTAAGACCTTACATTGACCAAGACAGGAAACGGGAGGGAAGCCATGAAAAGCACAACTACTCAGCCACTCATAACCAGCACCCAGGCTCCTAAGGCTGTACGGGTGACTGCATCTATCCTGCAGTAAAACATGATGCCACAGGTTTTTCTGAGAGAGCACCGAGGCACCACATTTAAGCTCTTCTCTAGTGTGACAAGTATCAGCCCAGGAGTCAATTTTACCCTGTTACAAGCAGGGGTCACCTGCGGATTTAGATTTTGAATCCTCACAAAGCTTATGGCAGCCAATAAGGGTGTTTGCAAACTCAGCATGGGTTGTTTCTTTTGCGTGGCGGGGTGGGCAGGAGGCTATCTGCTCACTTTATCTGCACTGCACAACCAGCATGAGCCAAGCAAATGCCACACGTAAGGGACAGGAGAGATTTCGTCCCAAACCAAAGGAGAGAGAATATAGTCCCAGAAGGATAGTGTTCAAGGAAATCCCAGAAGAGAAATAGTCTATTGTCTTCTTAGAGACACCAAATATAGCAGTGTACACACACCACTTCTTTAGAGGAATCCGAGGGATGGGCAAAGGTGAAAAGAATCATCACAGGCCAAATTAGGTGGAGAACCAACCCCTGGCAGTGCCAGGAGAGTGTCCCTCTGGAGCAATACTTCCCAGCTTTAAAAAGTGTCCATGCTGAACCACCTCTTGAACACTGCAACTGCACTGACTGCAAATTACACCCCTGATTGCAATGCAGAGATCCTGCCAGGAAACTCAGCCAAACACTAGCTGTAGTTTCCCAAACTCTCTTACAGGTCTTCCTATTCTGTTCTAAAGATTCTCAAATATGTGACTGAAAAGGCGGCTGGTTGTCAAACAGCAGCAACATTCAAGCATCACATCCTGTAAGGCTATCTGGAGCTGAGCAGCCACAAACTGCTAAGTGCCTTAAACTCACTAGTGACTCTAGAATATTTAGGAATCATACACAGCTTCCATTAAATGCCACCTGACCACGTCTTGGATTTCAAAATCCCTCTGTATGTCTCCAGTTGGCTTTCCCATCCTTTTGGTCCTTCCTCTGTGGAACTAACACATCACTATGTGTAAGGGAGAGACGTTCTAAGAGGTTATTAAAACCCATCATCCCACACTGGATGCAGGACTCTTCTGCTAGCTGACCTGACCCAAAGCTACTGAGGAAGTTCAGGTCTCACATTTTCTGTGCTGCTTGTTAGTTCTCTGCTAGGATATGAAAGAGGGGTGTGCAGGGGAAATGTGGGAATGAGGCAGGAATATCCTGCAGGATATCCCACAAATGGCCTAGCTATGGCAATCAGGCTGAGGCTCCCATTTCTTGCTATTGTTTACGTTACCTAAAACCATACCAAAAAGAGACACATTTGACTTAAATAGCACTCGTAGACTTTATTTTGGGACAGGATGTAACACATGAATTCGAATGCTATGATTGGGTAACTCTAGCAATCCCTTAGCTGTTGTAAATGACCTGAGCTAGGACTCATCTGCTGAAGGCTTGATAATCAGTAGCTTCTTTTCAGTTGTCTCAGAATAACACTACTGCCTTCCGTGGAGTAAATCTGGATTTATATCTGTGTAAACGAGGCAGGATCAGATCCAAATCAGCTAAACCAACTTACAATTACAGCATCTGCTGAACTGGATACTAGTAACAAAGCAACAAAAGGGTTTGTACATACAGCAAAAAAGGAATTACGTGAAACACAGCCTATTACTGTGTGATAGCACAAGAAAATGGACTAAGTAATTGAGATATCAACCCACAATAGAGGTCTACTGGTTTTGTATGGCAAGGTCTGGGTAGCAGTGGTGGGGCTACAGGGGTGGCTTCTGTGAGAACCTGCTGGAAGCTTCCCTTATGTCCAACAGAGCCAATGCCAGCCATCTCTGCTGCTGGCCAAGGCTGAGCCCAAGAGCAATGGTGGTAGCGCCTCTGGGAGAACACATTTAGGAAGGAGGAAAATAAATGGGGAAGAGAAATTGCAGTCAGAGAGAGAGTGACATGTGAGAGGAACACCTCTGCAGACATTCATGTCAGTGGAGAAGGAGGGGGAGGAGGTGCTCCAGGCACCAGAGCTGAGATTCCCCTGGCAGCCCATGGTGCAGCCGGCTGTGCCCTGGGCTTTGGTGCGCACCTGGCCTCCAGCCAGGGTCACCCCACCACAAAAGGGAAGGAATCCAGACCATCTAACAGGCTTACCGCAAGTGGCCAGCTAACACAAGTGAGCTTCCTGTAGACTCTGAAAATGTGGATAACGTAGAAGAACAAAATCATAACCAAGTCGCACATGGTGACAATCTGAAAGTAGCTGTATGCACTGTAATCCGTCCATGGAGAATTATTTACACTGATGAATCCCACCAGCAGTGAGATCTGAAAGACAAAAGACACATTAAAGATTTTTACAATAGTGCTCGGAGGGCCATGGAGATGATTTAAACACAACAAAATGGCACTTAGAAACAGAAGACAAGTATCTAATGTAAACGGGATGGTCCCAACAAAATGGAGGACAAACTAACTGGCATGGTAATAATGTTTTAAAATTTGTCTTTAAAAGAGAAAAAGATTGGAGAAAGAGCCAACTGCTAGAAGGAAACAGCAGTTTCAACCTGAAGAATCCAACCTGAAGACATCTCTAGACACAAGAGGTCTCAAATAGAGAAGAGGCAATGAATGCCTGGAGTTGCGCCAGTGACTGAAGCATCTAAACCCCACAGATTTTCAGAAGGACATCACTGAAAGCTGTAAAAATGAAGGTGCCCATGAACCCATGCACCTTTACTGCCATTTAGTGAGATTTATCATAGGACCTGGCTGCAACTAAGCCAACAGTTTTACCTTTCCTTTTCTACCACCTACAGAGCAGGAGCATTAGCAGACTAAGGTAATATCATAGCAAATACTATAAACACTTTGAGGAATTGATTAATGCACCCCACACCCAATACAATAAAGCTTCAATCTGTTAACACTGTCACAGAAAACCATGAAGCATTATTGTACAACTTTCAGTTGTAGGCTAGCAAAGGACATAAGCTATTTTATTTTTTTATTCTAAAGCTACTTGTTTATTTTACTAATCTTGCTGCTTCTACCAGCCTGGCTAGTCTGGGTGATAATATTTTCTTATTACAGACTTGGTCAATACATGCTTTCAGACACTGTAATTTTTAGTTCATCCAAAGTCAGCCAGGAGCATTAATGATTCACATTTTAAGTGTTTCTCCAAGTCATTAAAAAGTTACCTGAGGAAGCCAGCACTTCAAGACTGCACCATTCTTTCCTGCATACTCATCTGCTAAAATCCTAACCAACTGCATCCATTATCAGAATAATTTCCTCAAGATTAAAAGGGAAGAAAAACCCTAACGCCCAAACAACATAGCTTAGATTCTCCCTGCTGTAATTTTAACTGAGTTTCACCTGCCCGGTTCCCAGTGAACAGGCTGAACATACGCATCCTCAAGGGCAACCAAAAGCGCTACGCACACGTAAGAACTTTACAAGAACTTGTCACCTTGGCCAAACTCCATCCAAACAGCTACACCAACGTCGCAACAGTGAACCACCTCAAAAAGATGGCTCTGAAGAGAAAATGCTCCAGGATCCTTTCCCACACAAGTGGCTAAGCTGTTGATAGATCTTGTCCAGCTTTGTTATTTTCACTGTGGTCCAAGTAGTTGATATTGGCAATGTAAGTGATGCTCAGTTCAAGCCAGTGACGGGCTTCTGCACTAGAGGAAGCCTACATCTCCTCCCACCTTTGAAGCATGTATAGGGTAGGGAAGACAGAACCTTGAGGTGTAGGGCTAGATCGTGCTCAATGCTTGTCAAGAACGGAGGTTACATGTGCCTTTGAAAATGCATGATATCACTCGGTCCCTGGCTCTCCAAATACGCTCCTTCCTTCTGGTTTGAGAGTGTAACATCATAGTAGCATCCTGTGTGTTTAGTGCTTCTCTCAGCACCACGCCTGTTCTCTGGGTCCCACAGCCTGCTGCTGGGGAATCCTAAATGAACAAAATCTGGCATCTTGTGCATGGCAGAGCTTTCCAAGATGCTACATTTCTTAGAAGACAACAAAGCGATGCTCTCCGTAATTCAGCATATAAATACTTCCGGCCCAGTTCTTCAATTCTGAGATAATGTTAATGAATTCAGCTGCGGTTTCAGGAGGCGCCATGGCCTTTGCCATCTTCTCCTTCCCTCCCTGATTTCACTCCCTATCATGTGCTGGCTTCCGCACTCACCTGTGCTGAGCCACCTCAGAGTACTAAGCCAGCGGAAAAGTGAACAACTGAAAAAAGCCAATAGCTTTCCTCTGACTCTGCCATTCACACCAGGCAGGGTCAGGTGAGCAAGGGAGTGTGACGGAGAAGCTAGGACTCCACCGGAAAGGACAGGAAGGACCGAGCAGGCAGGATGGCAGCAGCTAGTAACCATGCTGGCTCCGGCTGCCGCAGACCACCCATCTCGGTTCCTTGAATTGTAATGTCAGTTATGCAACGAGTCGTCTGACTTAGCTGTTGAATAACCTGAACGATCAGAAGGAGATCAGCAGGTCATTTGCCCAATCATCTAGGAGAACACATGAAGTGACGCAAGACACACAGCTATCGTTTTCATGAGAAAATGTAAACTAAATCTAATGAAATTTCATTCTATAGGAAGACTCAGCAAGTCACAGCAAGTGTTGAATCTTGCTTTTGGGTAGGGGTGGGATGAGGACAACACTTCTCTAACCACCAAAGGCTAAAAGGGGTCTTCAGGTGCCTTCACAATCATCAGTTCTCAGTTTCAATTACACTGTACAAATCAAGAAAGAAGCGCTAATTCTCAGAAATATTAAATCTGCCTACTGGCTCATTGCATGCTTTAACCATTAACTTTATCAACATTTTTTACAAAAGGATAAGAAGGACTGGACCCTTGAAGTACAACCACCATCCAAATAATAACAAGCACCGGTTAAAAAAAAAAAGAACTTAGTTTACACTAGACCCAGTTCTTTCAACTTCATGGAAGCATAGCAATAATTTTATTTTTACAGTCAAATGGTATAAAAAATTGAGAAGAAACATAAAGAGAGCCATCCAAGGACAAGGTCAGAAAATTCATCTGAGGTGCTGTATTTCTCAGAAATAAGAAGATAGAAGGTACCAACCAGTCAGTGAAGAATCTGCTCAGCTCCTAAGAACAGAGTAGAAATGTGGATTTGAAAAAAACATGCTTTCCATTTCAAATGTACTTCACAATTAAAACAATTCCAAAAACAACTGGTAGAGATTCTCCCTTTTTTTATTTTAGATGTGCCTCAGCACACAGGTAGGAAGAAGCCACTGCGTGGCAAGAGGCATTTCTTTCAACAATTTCCTTTCTTAGCATAAATTTCACAACATGAGGTTTACATGCAATTTCTAAGGAGGGTTCTCTCATCGTTCATAATGCTGTCTGAGAGGCCGGTGCAAAGGGGACCATATCAACAACTTCATACAAATCTATACCATGCTTGCCACACTGTACTGCCTGCATGGGTAGCAGGTACAGTCAGAGTTTAAAACTCACCTGTTGAAAAAGAATGCTAACAAATGTAGGAAATAGCGCCACATAATATTATTTTGTCCTTTAAAAGTGATAAATGCCAAGGTTCCTTCACCAGATATTGGTTTATCATGATATACTGGGTGACAACTGTATTTTTTTCCCTCTCTGGAATTCCTGTTTCCAGAGAACTTGAAATTGAGTGATAAAATTATTAATATGCAGCTGTCTGGGATACAGTTCAACATTTATCTTAGAAGCCAGTATGTGTCACAGATTGAGAGAGAGAGAGAAATGAATGGCAAAGCAATAAAATGATCAAATATTACGAGTGTTCTTTATGCATCTGTGCTCAGGGGAGCAGGTTAATACATCTTGAAAATAAAATAGAGGCACAAAAAAATTATGGCACTGCCATTTCCACTTCAATGAGGAATTTCACAGACTGTGAGAGCAGCAACATGTAACCCATAGCCAGCAAGCCAGTCAGGCCAGAAATACAGGTCAAATGATGGTCCCTCTCATTAGAGTATTTCAACGTGCTCCACAGAATATATATCCAAGCTTCAGACCTGTATTACAAAAGGGGTGAGGGACACATTGCAGGACACTACCACTTAAGTGCTTTCTGGTTTCTGAGAAGTGAAAGAAAAACATAAGCATCAATCAACTGCAAGGAGGGATTTTGGGATTTAAGTCAAGTTCCATATTTACTCTGTTTCACACAGGTTAATTGGCTTAAACTACTCCACTTAGTGAGTTTCCATCGGACCAGATATTTGAAGGGAGTCATGAAGCGTGTTTAGGAACACTGCCCATTATCAGGAGCTATCTCGCAGCAAAGCCAACGAGAGCTAAAGGCAGTCAGCAATTGCCAGGAGGCACTCAACGCCTTACCAGACAGAACAGACATCGTAAATTAAAGATGGTAAGAGTCTGCATTCTCTTCTCTGTGTTGAGCTGGAGATGAGGCCACCACATCCTCTGCAACAGGCCAGTGGAAAATGTTGGCCTTCGAATAGCACTGATACCAACTCCCAAGCCTAAACTCCGTTCTGATTTGAAGCGACAACAGCTCTACCAAAAATGAAACAAAATCTGCTCTTTCTTGATATGGTCTTTCTTCAAAAGCAAACCCACAGCCCCTAAAAAAAGGGTGAACAGGCACAGACCTTTCAAGGACATTAATGGGAGGTGGGACGTGGGCTGGGAGATCTGACCTTCACAACAAAGAATGGCCAGGGGTTCTGCTGCTGCCTTTAAGTGATGAGGGCAAGAGTCAAGACCCTTTTCCCCCGTGTTACGATACCGCTCGCTCAATGCGCCAGGCATGGGTCAGGCCGAGCAGGCACACCCAAGCTGGGGGTGAGAGAGGGGCTGCAGCAGCACAACACATGTCCCAGCCAGGTGGGAAATTTAAGGTGCGATCCAGTTGTGCATCTTGTGCTCACAGCAAGGATCACAGAATCAAAGAATGGTTGAGGTTGGAAGGGGCCTCTGTAGGTCATCTCGTCCAACCCCCCTACTCAAGCAGGGACACCTAGAGCCAGTTGCTCAGGACCACGTCCTGCTAGGATTTGAGTATTTCCAAGGAAGGAGACCCCACAACTTCTCTGGGCAACCTGTGCTGGTGTTTGATCATCCTCACAGTGAAAAAGCACTTTCTGATGTTCAGATTGACTTTCATGTGACCATTGCCTCTTGTCCTGTCACTGAGCACTATTGAGAAGACCCCATCTCTCTCTGTCCTTCATTCCTTCCCATCAGGTATCTATATATGTTGGTGGGCTCTGCTCCACCGTCCAAGTCATTAATGAAGATGTGGAGCAGTACTGGCCCCAGTATTGACCCCTGGGCCATACCACTAAGTGACTGGCCTCCAAGGACCTTGTACCACTGACCACAACCCTCCAGGCCTGGCCATGCGAACAGCTTTTAATCCACCTCACTGCTCGCTTATCTGAGCCATACCCTGTCAGCTTGTCTCTGATAGGAGACCACAACCTTACTAAGATCAAGGCAAACATCACCCACTGCTCTCCCCACACGCACCAATGCATGATTTCCCCTTTGTAAATCTATGCTGACTACTCCTCGTCACCGTCCCGTCCTTCATGTGTTTGGAAATGCTTTTCAGGAGGATTTTCTTCATCACCTTCATGATGAGGACTGAGGTGAGGCTGACCAGCCTGTAGTTCCCTGGATCTTCCTTCCTGCTCATAGAGATGACATCAACTTGTTCAGAACGGCACACTTTCCTTCGGTACCTCTCAGGCTGGAGAGGATAGGGAAGGACTGGACATGAGCGATAAATTCTCCTTCCCTGTGCTATAAAATGCTACTTGAAGTGTTCCCTGAAAATACTGTTCCTTTTTAAAAATCAGCTGTTTTCCTCCCTGTTTCATGTTGGCCCTGTCAAAGAGTGAGCACCTTAAGTCTACTGTTCAATGATTAGACTAGGTAAAAAACAAGGAGGAGGTGTACCAAGACTTCAAGGAAGTCAATCTTACTCTGCAGGAAAATTCAACACCTTAAGGAAAGGAGGGGAATCATGTCTTTGGATTATAAAGAGATTATATACAGGAGGAAGATCCAACTTCCAGTAACTCCCAGGGCAAACGCACACTGGAGAAAAGGCCCTTGGCATTAGGCCCAGATGCTCTTGTACTTGTGATTTCAGATGATTTGAATTCCACCTAACTCCCTGCACTTGCTCTTGGCTGTAGTCCTGCAGATGCAATTAGTTTACAGAAAAAGCTCGGCTCCAAACATCCCAGCTTCACAGACTGAGCGTGATGCTGCGACCAAGAGCAAGCCAGCAACACAACCCTCAGCATTTCAGTGGCTAGATGCTCCTGTGGTTCCCAGTCTTGCTACCACTCACGTGGGCCACCATGAAACTGCCCACATCTCAGGACTAATAGGCTGGACTCCACTAACACAGACAAACATGCTGGAGTGTATCAGTAAAGATGGAAGAGCCTGGACCAAGCTAACAAGTTCCAAGTAGCTTACTACAGAATCACCTGCTCCAAGGAAGGGGCAGGTAGAAGTGCCTGCCCACCAGTCAAGAGATTACAGATACAATTTTTTCGCAGTAGGGTCCTGAGCACAATGAAGGAACCATAACATACGAAAGGACTTGTTCTGCCCCCCACATACCCATACGCCAGCTGGCACCACTAAACATTTTCTGATCATGTGGTCAAAGTCTGTAGTTTATCTGACCACAGAACAATTTTATAACCCAAGAATCAATCTGTGCAAGTGCTCCGTATGATCTTTTTCTACCTTCCTCTTTAATGGATGTCATAAATAAAGCTCTGGCTTTATTACCAATACTTAATTCTTTTGCCACATTTGTAGAGAACTAAATTTTCCTCAGACACAGTTACCTGTACAAATATAAATCCAGCATGATCTCCAATACTGACAACAACCTACTCTAAAGGAAAGACTAATGTTCTGAGCATGAGAGACATACATTCCCACAGACAAACACTGACACAACAAGGGAGGCATTGAATGTCACTGGGTCTTGAATTCTGAACTCATTTTTTTAACTATCTTACTGTCTGAACTTCTGTAAATCATCTGTTTTGCTGGCTCAGCTCCCCCATTCACCAGGAGAGGGCTAATAAACATTTCACGTGCATTGTGCTCACGTTTTTCACCTTCAAAACACTTCAAAGCAAAAATGTTGAGCACCGTTAATAAACCTCTAGGTCAAAATGACCATTTTCCTTTACAGTTTAAATGAGAATACATGCTCACTGAAAAAACCAAACACCTCCCCTAAATAAAAAGCTCAAATCAACAGATCACAGATATAACAGACAAGCATGGATGAAAACATGTGCGGGAAGGACCCTAAGACATCCAAGAAGGAAGCCACAGAACAAGTAAAACAGTAGGAAAAGGTTGGTCTTTTGGGGTTGCTTTTTGGTTGATTTCTTGTCATTACATCACACAAGATAAAAAAAAGAGAATCTGAGCTCACTGTGAAATGGGAATTGGTATTTATTTCCTGACTGTCACTTTTTCTACTTACGTTAGACTTCAATATAATGTGTTGCAAAAAAACCCACCAGGCACAAGACATTGCAAATAAACTCCTGTTTTCTAACTGGAAGTTCAATCGTTAATGCCAAGGCTACTATTCATCCCCTTGACCATTCCTGACTGTTCTGTACCGCACAGCATCACGTGCCTGTATCCAGCGGTTCCTTCTCAATTCTGTTAATGACTGTGGAGTAGGGGTGATCCTTTCCCACTGTGCCTGTACAACATCCTGTACTGGGGTGATATACTGGCTGTGGCCGGAGTGGACTTCACTGCCTCCACAGCAGCTTGTATGGCACCGTGCTTTGCATCTGTGGTTAAAACAGTGCTGATAACACATCAATCTTTCGGCTGTTGCTGAGCAATGCTTGCACAGCAGCAAGGTTTTCTGTCTCTCTTCTCCCTCCCCTCGCCCCAAAACAGGTAAGCATGCAAGTGGGCAAGACGCTGGGAAGTGACACAGCCAGGACAGCTGGCTCCAACTGACCAAAGTGATATTCCAGATCATACGATGTCGTGTTCAGGGACAGACGCTTAAGAAAAGGAGGTGTAGGGGGAAACATTTGAGGCCATGACATTTGTCGCCCCAAGCAAACACTACACATGCTGAGGTCCTGCTTTCCAGGAAGTGGCTAAACACATGCCTGCAGATGGGGAGCAGTGGATTAATTCCTCTTTTTGCTTTGCTTACATGTGCAGCTTCTGAGTTCCTTATAAAACTGTCATTAGCTCAATTCACAGACCTTTTTGGTTTCCTTCTGTTTTCTCCCCATGAGTGAGAAGCTGGCTGTGTGTTTGGCTGCTGACTCGGGTTAACCCACCGCAGGTGGCCTACTGCTGTCCTGGGACTTGTAGCTGCTGCAGTACTACAAAGAATAATACTGAAAATCTTAATTGGAGAAAGGAACTGAACGTGGCTTTTGCAAATTCCAAGATCATATACTGAACTGACAGGCTGAAACTGCTATTTCACTGTATAATTTAACTATGAATAATAATTTTCTTTTTCTATATAGAAATAAGACATGAAATGCCAGTTAAACTGCAGGGAGGAAAGATAATGTCGATAAGAAGCAATATTGCCTCAAGGTGCCCAGTTCCATAGAAACACTACAATTCTTATCTCAAAGATTTACCATAATACTGTGACACACACATTGTCCTGCATAATCCACCCAGCACTGCGTTATCTTTTCAATGAATTATGTTGCCACACAATGTACCACCACATTCTTGCTTTTCTTAGAATATTTTCTTTTCTTCCTTGACTGTGCTCCCCTCTGCTACAGTCTCCTTTGGGAAGCTGTACTATGACTTTTTGCCTCCAGCGTTTCCTTTTTTCCCCGCTGTGTAATCCCCTGTCCTCTTCTCTCCCTATGTCACATGTCGTATTTCTGCTTTGTATCTCTCGTTTTCTCCCATCCAAATTCCCTCTATGCATGCAAACACCCCGTAATTCCCTCTTTTAACGTTTCCTAGCTATCTTTTCCACTCCCTTGCACCAGGACATGCATCGCAATTAGCTAACTAAAAATTAGCACCATTCAGGGGACAGGACTCCGAATAGTACCCCACCTGTACAAAGCCTGTAGGCAGCAGCTTTGGTTTACCCACCTCCAGTTGGTAGTTGGCAATACCTGAAAGTGCTTTTCCTTCCCATCCTCCTCTAACAATTTAACCTTCTAGAAGACAGAAACAGCTTTTTTTTTGCCCTGGATGTTGTAAAGCAGCACTGAGAAGACCTTCTCCATTGTACTTGCTGGAGCACTGATGAACCTTTGTACTGCTTCAACATCCCTCCTCCAGAATCAGAAAAGAGGAGGACCCTGAGAACTATCCATGAAACTAATAAAAACTGATTTCCACTCGTAAAACTTAGCAAGTTCTAGTGCAAGCAATAGTACAGAAACTGTCTACAGACTTGGAGCAACGGACAGCACCGACTCATATGCAGTTTTATCACAGCTTTCTTAAAAAACCCAATATATTAAGAGTGAAATGCTTTTTGTATTTGAATGAAAAAAATGTCAAAGTTTCCAGATTGTGACACCAGCCAAGATAGTAACTGGAATTTTCCAGTCCTAAGCGAGCCAATCAGGGTAACCATGCCCTGGAGAAATGTCACTGACTGCAGCTGTACATTTACGAATGTTACACCTCAACACAGTGAAGCAACACCCATATATATTAAGTACATATTTTTGGACAGAATAAAACCATTTCTTTTGAACAGCTTCCCAAAACAGAAAGATGATCAAAGCGCAGGCCAAGGTTACAACTACAGTTCATGCAAGACTGGTTCAGCTAATTTAAGCAACAACATTGACTGCTGCTGAAGTCGAGATTTCCTTCTTCCAGGGCTGTGTTGGAAATGTGAGCTGTAACAGCCAAACCCCTACTAGAAAAAGAAGATAAAAAGCCCAGTCCATTTAAAACTTCACTAATGACAGATGAAATCAGCTGCCTTCCAGTGCATGGTTCTGTGAAGCAGTCAGTCTTTGGTTGCACAATAATCTCTCAGCCCCTGTGTCTGGGCAGATTTCCTTCTTGTCTGGCTGCTCTGCTAAAATAAGGAGGCTGACTGGCCTCTGATAAGTGACTTCTCTTCTGCACCACCATCCACAGGCTCTTTATCGAAGATAAAAAATGGTGGGAGGGTGAAAAACGGTGAAATAAGATTATTCAGACCCTCTACGACTCAGATAAGAGGACAATCCTAAGTACAAGCAAGTGGTATTCTTTATCTGTTAATAATAAGTTATCTATCTCTTCAGGCATAGGCCTCAGTGGTAGAGAAGGGTGTGGGATAATCACAGAACCAGCACATGAATGACATTATTAAAGAGCCCTTGTTACAGAATGTTAGCTATGATCATTAAAAAGGCAACTCTTTGTAATGAGCAGCTACAATTAATTCCTGCCTACCACTGATCACTATGCACTACTTTAATCCCACCACCGCCAGCATAACCAGCTCCGGGCCTCAATCCCCACAGCCACCTGCACCACACTGAAAGACACCACAGAATCCTGGACATTATCCATTGAAAGCCATGGACTTTACAGCTATATGGCAAGCAATATGCTATATTCTCATCAGTCAGTGAATTAATTAAAAAAAACCCCAATGCAATACTAGTATGTTACCAACAACCACCTCTAATTTTCTTTCCTCTCCAATCCAATATTAACAGATTTGTTTTAAAAACCAAC